GGAGGCGTGTCTGTCTTAACTCCTACTATTGCTACAGGCTTTGCCACGCTGACCAGGCCGGGTGGAACAGCAGCAGCACCAGGTGGAACATCATTACCTGGCGGAGCAGCAGCACCGGGCGGAGCAGCAGCAGGGGGAGCGCTAACAGCTGTAATACCCGGCGGAAGTAGCACTGCCACCTCTACTACCACCACCATCCAAGTCGTCCAAACGTTATCCGTTCTTCCTAGCCGCCCTCTCCCTCCGCAAACACAAGGGAATACGGCTACACGTCCGGCAACCACGAGCACAGTGATCGGAGCAAGGACACCGCAGCCTACTCCCGCTGTTGATCCAAAGAAGCGGACAGTGGCAGAAAAGACAGACCTCGCCCGGCCCGATAAACTCAAGGCGAATCCTATTGTGTTCCGCCGTCGGACTTGAAAATGTCCGTCTTAAATTACGATCTCATCACCATACCGTAGTTTGAGAGGAAAATGAGTCCCAGGTAATCGGGGGGGGGCTGTTTGGTCCCTTCTTAGAGCAATTGCATCCAGTCCGCGTTGTCATGGTCAGATTATACAGGCTTTCGGTTATATTCGAAACAATCAAATCTTAAGGTCAGATCTAAACAGATAATACTAAAAAAGCGGTCTCTAGCAAGCGGCTATCCAGTTTAAGCATCACAAAGCACAGGCTGTGTAACAAATAGAAAGGGGCTGTTCTCGCGATGTGATATTTCTGCATTCTCCCTCGGTAGCGACAGTGTTATCAAACTGTTCGAATTCGTACGTGCGAAAACAATTCTCATAGTAGGGGAATCGGAACGAAGAAGACAGAGACGCAGACCAAGTCGAAGCCAGTAGACTTCAACACGGGGAACTCGCCTGCCCGAATTTAGAAATTAGATACAGTACAGGTAGAATAATAGGAACGAAGAAGGAACAACGCTTCGACGCAGATATGCATGGAACATAGGTGATAGGTTTCGAGAGGATTGTGAACAAGGGAATCTCGTTTGGATAGTCGGAAATATGCAGCGAAAAGTAGGATTCTCGCGGAGAATGCTACTCTCTAATCTCCATCGTCATATCAGCTGGCCCACATTGTTTTCATCTTAAGCCGCAAGTAAATGCGAAATAAAAACCTCGCCAATGGATTCCATGCGCCGGACACCTTACATAAAGCTTCAACAGATAAAGACCGAAATAGAATCAGGTTGTGAATATGGGCAATGTGAGAGGGAATAAAGGAAAAAAAAAGTCATTGTATAGGCGTCGTCACAACGCCAGCGAGGAGCCTATGCAAAGCAGATGGGTTCCGGATAGGATAGATCAATGAGCAGAAAGAAGCATTTGAAGGCGAAGGATGGTAGATGGCTCGATCACAGAGAACGATTGCAGCAAGAGACGATAACCTCTGGAAAAGAAGCGAAAGGCGGAAAAATTGCTAAGGCAAAGAACAAATCCTTCAAGCGGGCAAACGATATGGGTATATGTTCGCATCAAGGCTGTTGACGCCAAGGAAGCAGAAAATGGGAAAGTGTCTCTTCACAACGTCTCACGAGCTGTTCGATCGTAGCAGGGCCTAAAAGTCCAATGAGCGATTGCTTTCTCATACAACTTTTCGAGAGCGGTAACCACTGACCCGTTCCATGGCGATCTCATCATCTTTCGCAGCCGCGGGGCTCGAGAAGCCACGATTGATGGACCCTGAAGCTGTGATGGACCTTGTCTCCATACCAGGACGCTTCGCTTCAGAGTGATGGATTTCGCCACTGCTGGAAAGTCGGGACTCCTTGCTTTTCTCTAGTAGTGAACCGCCCAGGGTTGCACACTTGAGGATCGTCTGCATCATTTGGTTCTGTTTCAGAGGTTTTGACAAGTATTCGTCCATCTGAGCCTGTATACACTTCTCGCGATCGCCCAGCATGGCATGCGCAGTGAGTGCAATGATAGGTGTGCGAGAAAGGCCGGCCTCTCGCTCATATTCGCGAATCTTACCAGTGGCTTCGAAACCGCCCATGACAGGCATCTGTACATCCATCAAGATAACATCGTAGCGACGCTGCTTGACGGCTTCCACCGCTTCCAATCCGTTGCCCACAACTGAGACATTATGGTTGTGCTTCTCTAAGATCTTGACCGCTAACTTCTGGTTCACGTCATTGTCCTCCGCAAGCAGAATGTCAAACGAGCGGGAATGATCGGTGGTGATTGGCGTAGATCGTCCTTCCAGAGCTGGGAGCATACCATTGCCGAGGTCTATTGGTTGACATGGTGTGGTCATGTAGGAACTGATACCAAGATCCAGCGCTGACTTCAAGCTCACGCAAACGAGGGGACAGACTAAGACAATGGGAACGTATTTGAAGTCATCATAGGTCCGTAATAAGCGAGCCGTGTCCACCGAATCCACAATTATAACATCATAAGCGTGACCCGATTCTTTGCCTGACGGATCCTGAATCTCTGGTGGTGGAACATGATCTTCGTTCCTCACTACTATAGGTTCCAGCTCGAGCTGCTTCAGCATCTTAATGATGTTCTCCGCCTGAAGACCGTTCTGGCCCTTGTCAATGAAGAGAACTCGGTGATGCTTATACGGCATGAGCTGTGACGCGATGACGTTCAAGGACTGATCGGCGAGCTTCACGACGCACGTGAAATGGAACGTGCTGCCATGACCGTACTCGGATGTAACCCAGACATCACCGCCCATCAGGTTGACGAGTCGCTTGGAAATAGAAAGGCCGAGACCTGTACCGCCGAATCTGCGTGTGGTGGATCCATCTGCCTGCTGGAAGGTGTCGAATATGAGATCCAGCTTATCCTCTTCAATACCAATGCCGGTGTCGGAGACCGAAAACTCAAAGGCATATTCGTTGGGGGCACATTGCTCTCGGTCTGATTTGCGAATCGTAAGCTTGACCTCGCCATGCTCAGTGAACTTGATGGCATTGCCGACCAAGTTCAAAATGATCTGACGCAGACGGAAAGGGTCGCCAATGACATAGTCCGGCACAGTATTGTCAACTTGATATGTCAGACTGAGGAACTTTTCATTGGCCTTGACAGCCAGCGTCTTGAGGGCGTTGAACACGGTCCCCCTCACTGTGAAAGGAATGCTTTCAATGACCATCCGATTTGCTTCAATCTTGGAAATGTCGAGTATATCATCGATGATTGTTAGCAAGCTGTTTGCTAAGTTATGCACGACATTCAACATCTCGCGCGTGTAAGGCTTCAGGTCATCAGTGTCTAGAGTGAGTTGTGTCATGCCAATGATGCCGTTCATGGGTGTCCGGATCTCATGACTCATGTTTGCCAGAAATTCAGACTTTGTACGATTCGCCAGCTCAGCTGCCTCCCTGGCAGCAGTGTTACGCTGAATGCTGTCTCGGAGATTAGAGACCATCTTGTTAATCTTGCGCTTGAGTTCATCCATCTCCCCGGAAGCGTTGACAGTGATGAGCTTAGTGAAATCGCCGTCGGTTGCGGCATCGGTGATCTCACCAAACGCACGCACCTGCGAAGTCAGGTTCTCAGCCATTGTATTGACATCCTCGGTGATCTCCTTCCATGTTCCAGCAATCCCCTCCACGTTGGCTTGACCGCCCATTTTCCCGTCCACGCCGACATCACGAGCAACCTTTTTAAGTTCAGTTGCGAATTTCGCAAGACGATCCACCATGTGATTAATCGTGACTTTGAGAGTCAAGATCTCCCCTTGGGCATGGACTTCGATCTTCTTGCTGAGGTCACCCTTCGCGATAGCCTGCGTGACGTCTGAAATACTTCGGACCTGGGACGTCAAATTCTGGGCCATGGTGTTGACATTGTCTGTGAGATCCTTCCATTTGCCTTCCACATTGTCGACCTTGGCTTGACCGCCGAGGGTACCATCTGTGCCGACTTCCCTGGCAACTTTGCTCACTTCGAAGGCAAAAGTATTCAGTCGGTCGACCATGCCATTGATGGTGCTCTTAAGATCTAGTATTTCACCTTGAACGTTGGCAGTGACCTTCTTGGTCAGATCGCCTTTCGCGACGGCAGTCGTGACATCGGCGATCTCCCTGACTTGGGTGGTCAGGTTGTTTGCCATTCGGTTGACATTCTCAGTCAAGTCTTTCCAAGTGCCTTCCACATCATTGACGGTGGCCTGGCCACCTAGAACACCGTCTGTACCAACTTCCTTGGCAATCTTGGTGACCTCCTGGGCGAACTGCCGCAGTTGGTCCACCATGGAGTTGATAATGTTCTTGAGCTCAGCAATTTCTCCTTTGCAGTTGGCTTGAACCTTCTGTGTCAGATCACCCTTGGCCACAGCCTTGGTGACAGTCGCAATGTCTCGCACTTGTGTAGTCAAATTGTTGGCCATGGCGTTGACGTTGACAGTCAGCTCATTCCACATGCCTTGGACGCCTTCGATCTGGGCCTGCCCGCCCAGGACACCTTCCGTACCGACATCACGAGCGACACGAGTGACCTCCGTTGCGAACGTGCGCAGTTGATCAACCATGGTGTTGATGGTCTGTTGCAGTTCCAGAATTTCACCCTGAGCACGACTTTCGATCTTCTGACTGAGATCGCCATGGGCGACGGCCGTCGTCACCGCCGCAATTTCACGCACCTGGTCGGTGAGATTCTTGGCCATGATGTTGACGTTCTCCGTAAGCTCCTTCCAAATACCGTGAACCCCAGTGATCTGAGCCTGTCCACCAAGGATCCCTTCCGTCCCGACCTCGCGGGCGACCCTGGACACCTCACTACCAAAAACCTGCAGCTGATCCATCATCGTGTTGATCGTGCGCTTGAAAGTGGCAATCTCGGGGTCCATTTCAAGGGGATGAATCTGCACCTTCATGGACAAGTCACCATTCGCGACTTGCGTGATGATGCCACCAATTTCACGAAGGGCTTTCTGGAAAGCCTCGTTGGCTTGCTGGTGCTTGCGTAGCTCGCGTTCCAGCAGGACCACATCTTCATTTTCAACCTTGGTCAACGCCCGTCGCGTGTGCTCCTCCTGCTGTAGTAGCTCGTCACGAACTTGAGCGATGATGTCTTTTTGAAAGCTTATTTCCTCCGCCTGTTTCTGTACATGATTCCGCAGATAACTGATGTCTTCCTCGCGAACGAGTCGAGTTCTCGAGTCTACATCGTCATCTCCATCACTGTCGTCGTCGTCGAGTGCCTCATCGGCTTCATTGTCTTCCGCCTCACGGCGGTTTCTTCTTGTTCTCTGGCGACGTCGTGAAGTTTCCTGCTGCATGCCGCAAGAAGAGTTAGAAGCAGCTCCTTCATGAGAGGACAGGCGAGGGAGCCCGAAAAGCCACAGAAAATCAGAATTCTTGGTGGAAGACAAAGGTAACTCGGGGACAGGTCGGGGGTATGGTTGATGACTGACAACTTGAAACTCTAGATGGCGAACACGTCGACTCAAAG